TGGCAAGCTTTATCGCACTGTCAAGGACGACCAGGCTGTATTGATTCACCCCTCAACTGTCCTCCGTACCGAGTTCGACTGGGTCCTCTACAATGAGTTTGTCTTGACGTCCAAGCAATACATCCGAACATGTACAGGTATCCGACCTGAGTGGTTATTGGTAAGTGATGCTTCCAGATGACTCTCGTATCATCACGAGAACCTTGGGTCAATTTTACAGTAGCTAACACTTTTTGCAGGAAATTGCCCCTACGTACTACGATATTGACAGCTTTGAGCAAGGTGACGTCAAGCGTTCTCTTGCACGCGCTGCAGAGAAGAAGCGCCGCAAGGAAGCCATGAAGGCTGGTCGATGAAGTACTCACTTCGGGAGCCCTTGAAAGAAAAGGCCAGGAAAGGCTCTCCAGGCGCCCCCTAGAAATCGACAATAAAGGCATGGGCAGGGATTCGAAACGTGATCGATCGACCTGTTTGCTTATCCAATGCTTAGCCCTACCGTGTATGTGCGGGAAGCGGCCCTCCACTGCGGCTCGGCATTGCATGGGGCCGGCGAGACACAAACATTTCTTTGTCATTGAGAGTAGGGAAGAGGTGTTGTTTGTCGTCTGCTATGTAGCTCGACAAAGCTCTCCCCCTCCCTTATTCATCCCGGTCTGGAGTTGCACATCCTCGCGAATTGACTGGTTGGCCACGGCGTTTTATGTGCATCAGCCACTTCTTTCATGGTTGGCTGCTCGGTTGAATTGTTTTTTTAAAACAGTATTTCATGCTTCAATGTCTCCCCCTCGGCGCGCCCCTCTCTGTCTGGCCCATTGGTCTCTTTCACTTTACCTATTCGGTCTTAGAATCCTGCAGCACCGTTAGATTGCCAAAAGAGGGTGTGAGCGAGTGTAATGGAGGGATGCGGGCGTTTTTGGGTTGTTTTACTGGTGTGTATCTTGTGTGGAGGTAAAAAGAGGAAAGAGGCGACAGATAACATTGGGACTGAATAAAGGTTGTGGCAGAGAGAACTATTGTTAGCACACCAGCCGTATTTCAAACTAGGTGAAACAATATCAACGAATTCCAGGCACTTGCGCAGTTCTGCAGCATTCATGCTTCTTTAGCATCATGCACGACACCTCTTCCGGTTGCTGGAGTGTTTGTCTTGACTGCATTGTTGCCTCTTCTCCCAGCCTCAAATCAACTAGGCAATCAGCTTAGCTGTCAGCAAAGCTTGACTCAGAATAGCCTGAGTATGTATGTATGTATGTACGTGTGTGTGTCTGTCTGTCTGTCAGGATGAAGCTTCTCTGATGCAAACACAAACAAGGCATCCTTGCAGAGGGAGGGTGGCCTGCATATCCGTCTCGCCGCGCTTGACGATGCAGTCTGGATGTTGGTTCGGCCATCCAACTCCAGTTTTCCTAGGGTTTTCTCACCTCCCACGTCCTTCTCTCTTGGGATGACGATGTGTGTGTCAATACCTGCTCGTTCTGGATGTGGGCGACCAGGGCCGATAAAAGTGGCCAAGCTAGCAGGGCTCCCCTCATCGACATCGGTTATGGAGGCGGGCGGGCAAGACGGGAGATCGATGGGAAAAGCAAAAAGAAGGGAAAAGAAGGCAAATCAAGTAAGTGTAAGTGTAAATAGGTGAGAAACAATTATCAACCTCGAAACCCTTCGATTAGGTTGACAAACAAACAACGCCAGCAACTTCAGCACAAATATCATGGATAGATTTAGTAGGTAGCTTTCACCCTGCAGCTTGGCTTCGAAAATTCGCAATGTTGGCCCCATTACCACAATTTGACACCAACGACGGTGCAATGAAGGCTGCCAAAAGAGAACGAGTCCAATTGTGCTGTGATGAACCAAGGAAAATCGGCGATGGCTGTTTGTTTCAGATATACGGTGGGACAGGCAGATAGGTAGGGCCGGGTCTTCACAGAGGGTGCGGATCCCTTCTCAAGAGTTCTTGTTGCTCACAGCCAGCCTGCCCCACGGCGAATGAGAGTCAGAGTGTATGAAAGGGCAGATATACGAGGTGAGGAGACCGTATGAGAAGAAAATAATACCACCAACCTTGACCAATGGGTTCCACCTCGAAGTTTGCTTCCATACATACATACAGTACCCGGCTACTGACTACCGACGAGATCAATACCTGTTTTAGGTCGCCAAAGCCGTTCGTGACCGTTTCAATACCATTATCCGATGACAGGGGTGAGAAAGAGCCGTTGTAGCTTCCCTCAATTTCACCCGGTAAAGTCAATCGGGTTATCATAATGATTGAGACTGCTCCAACAAGGGATGACCCAGCAATACCAAATCAGTGGCAAGTGCTGATGCAAAACACCACGTGTATCTCAGCGTGGTTTGGAATATCAGGGTGTCATCGTACGGGCCAACCAAATTACCCGGCTCAGACCTTCACAAGTGGTCCAATCAATCAACATGCTCTGACAGGAGCTCCAGCAGCTCTCTTCCTTTTCGAGAATGCAATGCAGTGGAAGGGCTCGAGCTTCAAGCAGACGACAGTGCCGACCGGAGAATAAAGCATGGAGAGCATTACCTGTATGTATGTATCTGCAGGGCACTTGCTGGGTGGTTGAGCATCATGGCAACCTATCCGAGGAGGCCATAGCTCCTTGCCGTTCGCCCCTGTTCACAACCTGGAACATACTTGGGGGGGCGGAAGAAGCAAGATGGCGCACAGGTGAAGAAGCATCACAAGATGGTGCGCTGCCCGAAGGGGGCCGCGTTGTCAACTGTGCATATTGCGCGGTTTGTGATGTTTTCCCAATATGTGCAAATGGGAGAAACGTTTTAAGTTTCTGTCTAGTGGTAACGCAACGCAACGCAGCGATAAGACTGACCAACCCGGGATCCTGCTGCTTCTGCGCGCCCGTCCAAGGTGTAGTTTATCGCGCAACATTACAATTGCCTCAATGAGAAGATGGCCTTGATAGAGTCCAAATGAGTGTGGATTGGCCGAGGTAGAATGTGTGATCCGCGAATGGAGACGCCCGAGGTCATCGGTGATGCTCAACTGGACGTTATGAAAGCACGGGGCGACCCGAGACCTCCGAGTAGGGTCGTAATCTCATCGAGTAAAGACTGATGCTTCTCAAATATCTCATGATATCAGAACAAGTAACCCACCATGTCCCACCATGTCTGAAGCTCCTCGTCGCAATAAGCTCTGGCTCTGGTCTCGCTCTTCGGCAACCTTGATAGTTTGTATCACCGATAGCTTGGCTCTCGGCCTCCCCAGCACAAGCTCTCAGAGAAAAAGCAACATTGCCGGCATGTGCAAATATGCATACTCAGTATCCGAACGTTGAGATATACTTCGCATATCCACAGGCCAAACTGCGGCGCCACGCGCTTGTGGATCCCGTCCCTTCACAAGCAAAGCGCTTTTTTTTTTTTTTTTTTTGCTTTTTCCCGTCCTTCCATTCCAGATGCTGGGCTGAGCCGCATTGGCATCGATCCCAAGATGTTCTAAGAACGTTTCTTTTTCAGCCTCAGAGATCTCCTCCCCACAAAGTCCCTGCCTGGAAGAGCCACAGGGTCAGAGTGAGGTCAGATTAATTTTATATATGGCCTACTTGATTTTGAACCATGCCACTGCGCGTCCGACAATCGGATCTTTACCTGTGTACTTCATGTGGCACGACACATGGTAGTAGCATGGGATGACCGCAGCAAGCCTACCGTTGACTACGGGTCTTTGGCTTCAGGTCGTGGCGCCGGCTGGCCCGAAGACACTACAATAGGTATTCGTCAATGAACAGCACGCCCCTCCCTATTCCTGTTGAGGGTTTCTTGCCCTGACCTGGTACTGTCCTGTATGCGGCGTTGGAACAATTGTGATTGCCCTGGACCTAGGGGCTTAGGCGTGGACCATAGACGGGGGGAAATCATCATGCATCGTCTCAAGTAAGGTCAACCCCGAGAGGGATGCGCAAGAGCTCGGTATCATTGGATATGACCATGACAGACAGTACGTCCTTTCCCCAGACGAGTATACACGCCCTTGTCAGGTCTAACCTCACGCCATTCCGTCGGACGCTACACCCTTTATAGCTCTCGTCCCATGGCCCCACGTCTCGACGAACCACAAACCGTTTAAGTTGTCGACATGGCTTCTGAGACGACCCATCCTATCACTTCGCTTTTCAGTATGGACGCATACTGTAGTCTGTCTGTACTGGAGCAGCAGATTGAGGCGGAATCCGCAACACATGAATGCCACTAATGCTGATTAACATTTGTCTAGTCGTGCTCTGAAAGCGCTTGGGCGTCCTCCCCCGTTGTATGAGCGCGTAGTAACGAAAGATCTTGATGGCGTCGATTTCTCCTTAAGACCGGCCATTCAAGAGCAAGCCATCTTTGGCTGGTTGCCGCATTCCATCGTCGTTTTAGAATCATGTACGTTGTTTTGCCTGCCCGTACCCAAGTCATGTCTGCTCGTCGCTTGTAAAAGGCGTCTGCAGTCGTCCTGCAGAACTCACAGGGGCTCCCTGTCTGTCATCACTACGGGTGTGGTCCCCACCACATCGCATCGTTTTGTTCGGCGGGGGGCATCAGTCAATGCCATGCAAAATGGCATTGCGACGCCAACGGCCATTCCCATCGAGTTTAGTTGTCCCTAAGACGTCAGCGTCCGAGTCTCTAAGTCGTACTCCGTTGAGCAAACACTACGCACCTTTGATCATGCAAGCTCATTCCCACTTAGAGCTCCGCTCTGCCCTGGGTATCCTTGACATGTTGGCCATCCGCACTTCAGCGGTAGTACAAACAAATCGTTCGACCCTTTCCCCAGCCTAGTCCACTCCCCGTGCTAATAATCGCATTCACGTCACTTCCTCTTATTGCCTGGCAGCTCATATAAGAGTCTATGCCTCTTCCTCGCATTCCATTATCCGTCTGCCCACTGATTCACATCTCACCTTGTCCAATCCGTTGCTCACTACGCCATACAAGTCTCTTACATCTTGGACATCAACAGCACAATGAGTGGAGCTGGTGGTTTTTATAAGTACAGATGCAAGTACTTCTATACACATAACTGCCCCAACTGGGTCTGGGTGAATAATGCGCCTTGCGCATCATGTCTTGTAAGTTGGCATATTTTGCTTTGCATATCAATTCATTCGGCTGGTACTGACTGACAGCTGCAGGCTGATGGGCGCGATAACGAAGAACCTTCATTACCGCCATGGGGGCTGTCCCGAGATATTGTTGTCCCACAAGTTCTCGACGGCATTCTTCAATACACTCTAATGGAGCTCGTAGCTCCCTCAGAACCTGGCGACGACTGGACTCTTCGGGATAAGGCCAGTCGACCACCACCCTCAATTCCCGTAACAAGCGCTATGCCAGGCATACCGAGCATCATGGCACATCATCGATTTTAAGAAGAGTAGTGTCCTCGAGGGGCACAGGAGCGTCGCCCTCTGAGAGGGATTCTTCAATTGCGATATGAGGACGCCAGAGCTGGAAATAATTATCGACGGGCAAAGACTGAACTGGACTATTGAGTGCCGACGGCAACTGGGAGATGGGTTGGCATGCCTCTCTCATGACCGCCGACCATTTGCAACGCGCCATTGGGCGTATGCAGTGTACGATTTTTGACTGACTGCGACGCTCGACATTGGATGGAGCGGGAGATTGGCGGCTGGAGCAAGACCGCAAGCAAACAAAACCCCCGCGAGATACCCATGCGCTGTTGAACCTTTCTGGAGACGGGGGACTCCAATCTGCAATTGCTATTATTTTTGGGCTTCTTTTTTCTATTCGGACATCATCATGTAACAGGCGCGAATGAGTTTCACTGGGTGGCAACAATTGTTATCTTTTTGGCCGTTCTGGAGCCGGGAAATTGATTTTTGACCTCTTCCTTCGTGGAACAGGCGATGCAGTTTTTGATCTCATTTTGTTTCGATTAATCATCTGCGAAAAACGCACACGACATGTGATGTGATGCTCAGGGAGCATTGGTTGTGGTCGACCTGCTGCTGGGCGGGTCAGTAATGAGTTCTAGGCACACGAAATCATGTCAAGGAATCAGATCAAGGCGCGGAGGCCAGGGCTAGGTCGTGAGATGTGGCGTGCCTCGGAAAGAGAGCTCGTCTGATGATCCTTGTCTGGCTGCAGGACTTATCAGTCAGTCGTTGTTTGTTTCGGGATGAGGTGCCCCACCGATAGAGATTGTCCAACAAGGCGCACGAGTCTACCTAAGCTCTATTATCAAACCAACTTGAATAGTAATGACCATCACGGGAGCCGCAATTGATTGTGGGCCGAAGAGGGTCAAGAACGATGTTGGTTGTTGAAAGGCTTGGAGCCGCACCTTGAATGGCGTTTTTGCTCTTCAAACGGTAAACTTTTCTCGAAAGGGGCCAAGTGCAACGGTTTCCACCATCTCCACGTGCCTGCATCTTGTGAGGGTGGTGCCAGTAACTGTAGTTGGGGGACCATCAAGGCTGAGCTACCAGTTGTACCTGCAATTAGCAGAGGATTAGTTGAGTTTCGGTGATGAAGTAATTTGACGCCATTGAAAGACGGTTTGTTTTAGAACAGACTTCCGGCCTCGCTTACTCCCGCAGACTGCGGATCGTCAGTATCCCCGAATGACGGAGGTGCAGTACGTTTTGCACGGACAGACAAACCGCGTAGCCACAGAGACGCGGTTCAAGGCGCAGAATGCCGTGCTACATAAGCATGCGGCTTGATTCGAATTGACCGCGGATGAATGTATCTGCTTGTAGCATTGTTTTCTCTTCAGTAACTAGCGGCAGTAGTGGAGAAGTCTGAGTGAGATTGAAGAGATTGAGATTGTGGCTTCTGGATGCGACAGCGGGAGTGGGGAATACGAATAATGACAAGTGAACAGTCATCTTCATGTACCCTTGCCTTCTAATCCAATCCATGGAATGGGGCCAGAGCAGAAAATGTTTGAATCGAGAAAGAGCTCAGGCGGGGACTTACCTGTAGGTCTCCGTTCTTTCCGGCCTGAACGAGCAGTCTGTGGTCCAGGAACATGCTCAATTGGCAAGAGACAGACACGGCAGCTACGGATTAGTGCTTCCATTTCAACATCCACAACACCATTATCAAATAGGATATGAGCCGCTGTCAACTGGCTGATCAGGGGAAAACAGTCTCCACTACGGAGTAGCGCCCGTAAAACTTGACCAGTCTCTAGTATGGTTTTCAAGGTCTAGGGCCCTTTGGAAGCTTCCGTCCATTCAGCCATGAGTCTTTAGTTCAACTTCTGAAGGATGCCGCTGTATCATGTGTAGACTCCCTAGACTCCCTTCTAGAAATAGCTTACACACACCTCACACCTCGCTAAGATTGATGACTAGGTAGCCTCAATGTCTCAGCTGCGCTGCGCGGGTATCAATTGAGATCCTATTGGGCAATTCCTCATTTTGAATCACAGCTCTAAAGGCCGATGACCACTCTCAGCCTCACCAAAGTGTCCCAATTGGGCATCTGACTTGGCCTCCTTGGAAGATCCGTTATATGCCGGAACTTTAGAGAGAGAGAGAATAAATAACACAGCCATCCCTGGTCTTGGCGTGAACCTTGTCTCCTCTCATCCTCTTACAGTGCGACGCTCGGTATGCGAAAGATGCCTGCGAGATCTCGCGAGGATTCTACGTGCTATGGATACAGCACCTTCAGAACCCTGCATCAGCCCATTATCCATAGCTTAGTGCCAGTGGTAGAAGCGTCATGGCACAAACAACATCCCCGTTCCAGAAGCGGAATGGAACGATTGAGAGAATTACTGCAGACCTCACTTAGGTACTCATACAGGCGTGACCACAGCCAGGAACAAATGGAACCAACCAGTTCATGAATCAGTCAAGTGCAGCTACTAATGTATTTAGTATTAAGTGGCTTGTCTTGATGATTTAGAGCATGTGCTGTCTGACCATTTCATCTCTTTCGGAGTCGGGGCCCGCCGTTCTAGTACAGAACATCTTCCTCGTCAACAACTCAAGAGAGTTTGTGTCTATTCGCAATAAGCTTTGACAGTTGTATGGAATCCTTCAACCCTGGAGGTTCCAAGTACCGTAGTGGAGTCAGTGTGCATATTCGTTGCTTGAGCCATGATACGACAGGATACGGCGCACGGAGTGCCGGGAAAACCTCTCAAGACACAGGAGATTATTTTCCGCGACGAGATGCTCATATCTAAGAGCCTGGGATGGTGTTCATACGATCTATGCGGCAGAGGTGCCGTTGTCATACGATATCTCAGCTGGACCTTGAATTTTATAGCTTCCTTTGGGTGGACAAGTTCCGAAAGATTACTCGTGTGCCGTCGAACGGAATGTATTCCGGTTGACGTAATTGGATACGTGATTATGGAGGGAAACAAATGTCATGTCACGGTAAAAGTTTAGGTGCTGTGATCACCAAATTACAGAGTATTCTGTCGGCAACAGACTTGTTGACCCTTGAGATCATGATTCTCTCGTGAAAAAGAATTCGTCTCCTCCGGGTATAGCGTCTGGGGATAGGAGTGAGGTTTGTCGTGAGGAATTCAATGATGCTCGTAACTACTAACCTAGTATGTTGCAGTCTGATGTCATGATACCCAGGAATAATGCACTCTAATCCTGCTAAACCATCATCGCCAAACTACCAGCGATCAATCCTGCAACAATCATTCCTAACCTGGGTGTAACACCCGTAGCGGCATTATCGTCGTCGCTCAAGCCAAAAGGAAGACCCTGGTAGTCAAAAGTAACGTTCTGCTTGATAGAGCTGTTGTAGCACCCGCCGTTGGCGATGTCAATCTTGGCGATATCGTCAGGCACGTGGAAGAACATGTAGTTCTTCTGAGGAATGTCCTTGAAGCCCTTGGTATTATACGGGAACTTGTCACCGCTGTCAGTGGAGCTAGTGTTGCGCAGAAGGATGCACTGCACTTGGCCAGGATAGTCCTTGTACATCGCTGGGTAGTCCTTCATTACGTCTGAGTTGCTCGTGTCGGCGACAAGGATGAACTTGCGATCAGGGAAGGTCTGGAAGACCTTATCGAGCAAGAAGCGACGGATGGACAGTGTTGCCGAGACGTCTGAGAAGTTCAGTGGACGGGTATCGAATGAGCCCAGTGGGTAAGTGTTGTAGATGAAGCTCATGTAGTTACGAGTGGCCTGCTCAGGTGTCGTAGTGAGATAGTGGAAGTGCAGGTCCTTCACTGAAGACGACCAGTTGGCGTAAATATCAGGCATGTTCATCCATGGAGTGAAAGGTCGAGCAAAAGTGTTGAGAAGACCCTCTTTTGGCTCGTAAATCTTTGTCACTCGCAGAATATCGTCGATGTCAGAGACAATAGTGATACCCTTGGGTGGTACGAGGTAAGCGGTTGCGTTTCCGCTGTTGTTCTTACCCTCGGCATAAACATTGAGAGTCTGAATCTTTGAAGTTTCGTTGCCGGGGATCAGATAGCCATTGTTGGGGCCTGTGGTGTTCTTAAGCACGACAAATGCGTCAAAGTCGCCCTCCAGAGTTGTGTTGTATGGCATGGTGATGTTTTGCGACCCTCCCCTCTGATACATGGTCAGCAACTGGTTCCATGTTTCTACTTTATTTTGTTTGGCTTACCGCATCAATTGCACCACCGCTCTCATCGGGAGACACATCAACATTGTTCACAAAGTCCATCTTGACCTCAACATTGTCCTGTTGCACCACGAAGATAGACCTTGTCACATTTCGAGCCTGAGCTTGCTGAGACTTAGACAGTTTGTCAACACTCGTGTCGATGAGGAAGACATTGGCGAGGTCGTCGACTTTCTCCTGGCTCAGGTTGGGGATCTTGTATACATTGCCATGCACTCGAACGTTCCAACCCTTGTTGGTCCAATTGCCGTACGGGCTGTCTCCTAGTTAGAGTGGTTCTCGTAGTGAATGAGGCTACTTACGGAATATTTAGAACCTGTGTTGGCTCGGCTTTCAAATCGTCGTCGTCGACACCTGCTGACTTCTTAACAGCATCGCCTGTGGGGAAACCAGTTGGAAAGTCGAGAATGCCTGAATTGACCCATCCCTTGATCTTTGTCTCAACGCCACTAACGAGACTTCCGACATAAGTCTCCACATCGCCAATGATATCACGTCGCTCGAGGTCCATAATCTGCGTAGGCTGAGCAGCTGGAACTGGAATCGCCTCTCTACGATAAACCGTTGGTGCGGGACCGGGAGCGGCTGCTGGGATGGCCATAACGGCGGGCAGTAAGCCCAAGAATGCTGCTTTCACCATGAGGGATATGTCTTGAAGTCTTGGCTTTCGAAGAGAAGCGTGAGAACAGAGAGCCAAGACACCAGAGAACAAGTGAAGGGAGGGAATAATTTATGAGCAGTAAGCGGACCTGGTAAGCTTAGGTAGCAG